TGAAGTCAGAGAGAAGAACACTTACTCTGGTCTCAGAAGACCCCTAGACACATGTGTGGACAGACTCATAGAGGCTGAGTAGGAGTCAGTTGGGTGAAGATGGGCTGAGGAGAACCCAGGCAAAGTGACCAGAATGACCACAGACATGGAAATGTGACTTAGATTAATGTAGGGGCTTACTATAAGTTACAAAATAATACTTTAACATAAATTACAGACCTGAGAGTGAAGAGCTAAGTCTGATTTGTTGGTAGGGAACAATTCATGAATAGCCTTTACATCATGCTAACTCTATAGGAATTTATCAGTGGTTCCGAAACTTTAGAATAGCTAAGAGTAATCTGGGCTATTTTTAAAATACAGAGTACCATGATCTACTCTCAGACATTTTAGTGCGTTTTAATGTAAGTCAGAGGTGGAGTTTACAAATGTCTATCTTTATCAGGTAAGCAAGATGATCCTTAGTTATGTGGTTTTGATAATCAGTCGTCAAAGGATTTTAAACAGGAGAAGTGACATTTAGAAAGATTACTCTCTTTGTAATGTGAAAAATGGATATGAGATAAACAATATTGTCTTAGAGGAATTAGTTGTAATCTAATACAGTAATTCTGATGAGACATAAAGCATTACATTATGGCAGTAGGCCAGAAACAAACAGGAGAAATAGATTCTAAAATAATTGAGAAATTTATATTTATGAAACATAAGGATTTTTCAATTTAAGAGATGAAGAGAATGCCTGCTAGTCCTCTGGCTCCTGTACTTGGCTAGGTAGTCATTACATTAAATTAAATAAGGCAAATGGCAAATTTCTGGGATTAAGTTGGTGGATTTGTCATATATTTCTCTCTTCTCATATGAAATTCAAGATAAATTGTTTTACGTAAGTAAATAAATAAATGTAGCAACACTCAAACCATCTATAAATTTAAAAGTGGAGGAATTTTTTGAAAGGTAAACTGCAAGCAGAGAACAACAACCAGACATGTAGGAGAGGTTTTCTTCCATGGGAGATGGAAAGGCACCGAGGAGCTCCAAGGACAGATACAGAAGCAGCTCGGAGGTGACTGCGTGCATATGGCAAACACCAGACTAACTAGGTGATGTAGATACTTCATTTCCGGTTACAGAGTTCAATCCAGATAAAGACCTCTTCTGTCACCCAGAACCTCTGCATCTTAGACAGCAGCATTCCCCAAACTTTTTAACACTGGGGCCCAGTTTTGTGGAAGACAATGTTTGTATGGACTGGGTCAGGTAAGGTGGGGGGATGGTTTATGGATGATTAAAGTTCATTTTTATTGTGTACTTTTTTTTATTATTATTACATTGTAATATATAGTGAAATAATTATACAACACACCATAATGTAGAATGAGTGGGAGTCCTGGTCTTGTTTTCCATCCACTAGATGGTCCCATATGGGGCAATGGGAGACAGTGACACCGAAGTGTGTTGCAAGGTCCAGACTACTCCACAATCTCGTTTTGGTTGCTGTCGCTGCAGAAAACCCTCCTTCACAAAGATAGGAAGTGGAGATGGAAGCAGACTTTTCAGTGGTTTTGTGGCAATCTCAGAGTATTTCACCTTGACTTTAATCCAGAATGTCTGAAGTTTCAAATATGCTTTTAAGATCACTGCCATCTGCAATCTCAAGCAATTGATCCTCTTCTAGCAGACAGAGTCAGTTCATCTGGCTTATTCACATACGGTTTGTGACTCCATTCCTCCCCAGTTTGGGTGTCTTTTGTAGTTAGAATAATGCTCAAACTCTTCTGAAAGTTGAGATAGGTGACCATGTACCAGCTGGCAAAAAGAATGCCCTGGCTCAGTGTCTTTCAAAATCTCGGCTAATGTTTGAAACATGTCAAAAATCCCAATGTTCACTCATCACTCCCATAATTCCAGTTTGGCTTTGAATGCAGTCACTTTATCCGGCACCTTGAATAGAGTTGTTCTCTCCCAAAGTGACAGACTGTGTTCATTGAGCAGGTTGAATGTGTCACACAAATAAGCAAGTTCTGCAACCATTCTGTGTCACTGAAATATGCTGCTAGTAGTGACAGTTTTTCTAAAAGAAATCTCTGGAGTGACCCTTGTAACTCAAAAACTCATGCCAGTGATTGACCTTTAGAAAGCCATCTCACTCCTGCGTATGGGAGAAACGCGCGTGCTCTCTGCACATCTCCTCATGGAGCTGCACAAACAGATGCAAGTTAAGGGCATGTGTAATACTTGATGTGGTTGATAATTTTAATCATATCCTGTCAAAGATTGTTAGGTTCTGGTGACATTTTTAGACTAGCCAGCATTTCTCTATGGAAGACACAGTGCACAGACCCACATTCAGAAGCGACCTCTTTGACCTGAGTAGTGAGACCAGAAAGCCATCCAGTCATGGCAGCTGCGCCACCTGTGCATTTAGTGACACAAAATGACCAGTTATTTTTTTCCTGCTATGTAATCATGCAAAGACATGAATAGTTCTTCAGCTGTGGTGTGGGTTGCCAACAAAAGTGCACATAACGCATCTTCATGAACATCCTCTAGAAAAATATATCACATAAAACTAACATTATTGCCCTGTGGTCAACATTGGTAGACTCATCAGTCTGAATTGTGTATCACAGTAACTCATTTATTCTTCTCTATCAATTGTGCCTCAATATCTTCTGCTGTTTCATCAATTCACTTAGTTACTGTGTTAGCCAAAATAGGAACACGTGTCACCGTTGAACTGCAGCTTCTCCTAAAAGTTCATGACAAATGTCCTTTGCAGCAGGCAGGATCAAGTCTTCCCTTATAGTAAAGGGCTTCTTAGCTTTAGCGCTCTGGTTAGCCACTTAAATGACGCTCTCAGTGCAGACACGTTTAATGAAGCAGTAGCCTTCAATAATTGCTTCTGTTCTTCGTGTTCACATGTTTTTCCTTGAGAAGCTCCAAAGGCTTGTCTTTTATTGCATGGTGTTTGTCTCCTTGCAGAGCAACATGTGGTGAAGCAGTTTTGAACTCTGGTGGCTTCTTCACTGGATGGCCAGTCACCACATATTATATAGAGAGGACCTGGATAATGTGAGTCATCTGTTGTAATGAACCGATAATTTAAGTAGGACTCTTGGTATTTCCTTTCAAATGCAGCTTTTTGTTGGCAGTCTTAGAGTCTTCTGCTGTCTCATAATTGGGTCTTTTCCTTGTTTCAAAGAAGCTCTCCAGTGATATTTGCTTTTTACTCATTTGGGCTAGTGTTAGTTTGTAGGCTTACCAGTGCTGTGACTGAGACAATTGCATAGTGTGGGAAAGAGGCATAGAGTGAAGTGGTAAATAAAATAAAGAGTGGGCCACAAGTGGACTAAAATAAGTGTCGGATTCTGACATAAAGCCTGCCACCAGATGCATCCATACCATTGAAGTACATCAACTCACTGGCCACTATAAAGCCCACCACTACATGCAGCTTAATTGCTGCTTGCAATTTTGATATGAGTTTGCAAGCAGTTTGTTTATCAAGGTCTCTGGGCAGTCAGATCTCTCTGTTAATGTTAATTTGTATTGGCAGCCACTCTCCAGTGTTGCATCACTGCCTCAGCTCCACCTCGGATCATCGGGCATTAGATTCTCATTAGGAGCATGCAACTGAGATCCCTTGATGTGCAGTTTGCAATAGGGACTGTGCTCCTATAAAAATCTAATGTTGCCGCTGGTCTGACAAAGGTCAGAGCTCAGGTGGTAATGCAAGCAACGGAGGTCGGCTGTAAATGAAGATGAAGCTTTGCACGCTCACCTGCCACTCACCTCCTGCCATGTGCCCTGGTTTCTAATAGGCCACAGACCTCTACTGGTCTGTGCCATGGGATTTGGGGATTCCTGTTAGACAGAAGTAATTCATAGGTTTTTGTGTGGGTTAAAGAAGTATATGTGTGCTCTGGAGGCAAGGAGATACAGGGAAATTTAATAACCAGGCAATTACTTACTAAGGTAACCTCCCCTATGGTTACTTTAGTGTGGCATATTATCTAACTGCACACTTGGGATATATAGAAGGATATGCTATTGTTTGTTCAGAGACCTGAATAGGCAGAAGCAAAAGTTTCATCAAATATCAGTGCAAAATAAAGATAGTACGTACATGAGTAAAAGTTACACCTTATTAGAGAATTAGGGGATTCAAGAGGAGGGACACATCTCGAGATACAATTTTATTTTGAGTATGTCATTTCAGGTGAATGTAGAAAAATTTTAAAAAGATTATAAAAGACTGTTCAGTAAAATAATATATAAGTTCTAATCTCAAGAAATAGAATAGAGCTGAATAAATTATTTTCCTCAAACGTCTTTGTTATTATCATGAGACCCTATGTTTTCAACATTTTTGATTTCTACTATTGGTCCTCACTTTCATCTATGAGCCTTAGAATTTGACAAAATGCAGCACAAGAAAAGTTAGCAAATAGCAATGTCAATTTTGGGGCAACTATTCATAGATTTGACGTGATGGTATCATCATAAGAAATCTTCGTTTAATGTTTCATAGTTTACAAGGTGTTTTTACACGGAAATCTTATCTGTTCTTGCCATGTAGTTTACAATGTTATCAGAACAGTATTATTATCCCCCTTTCAAATTTAATGCAATTCAGATTCAAAATCCCAAATGTCTTTCTTTGCCATATAACCAATGATAACATACCTTATTTTCATAAAAAGTATCTTGTTAAGTACTGTGTGTTTGCCTGAAATCAGGGCTTAGAATCAGAGTTCCCTGGGTGATAGAAGCAGGATGCAAAGGGCTGATAAATCCAAGCACAAGATTGTGCTAAATATGGTAAAGAACATGGAGCTTAAAACTGGGGGTTGCAGTAGACCTAGGTCAAGAAACAGATCTGGAGTAAAGGTGATGAAACAGCGAATCAGGACACAGCAACACTGAAAGGCAACTGGAGGGAGAGAGCGTGTTTACAGGAAACACACAATCTCTGGATCAGGAAACAAACAGCTTACCACTGCTCATGGAGAATCTCAGTACTTGCTCCCCAAATCCTGAGCCTCCCTCATGGAATGACACAGTGAGAGCCAAATGTCTACTTGTTCCTGTGTCATAGGAACCCTGCTGTTAGGTGATTCAGACCTCACAGAGGGCAGCTGGTGTGTGGGCCCAATGTCCCATAACTGAAAGAAAGATGCCTAGATCTTTACTGCCCTGGGATATGAACAAATGGCTCTACGGAAGGTGAGTGTTTTATCTCTATGGAGTAATACTTTGTCTCTTGCTAAGGCAATCATTCTTAAATCAAGCTTGCCAGTGTTTTTTTTTTTTTTTTTTTTTTTTTTTTTTGTCAGAAAGCACAGGCCTTGAAAAACAAAAAATATTTATAAAGAACTGTCCCCTAAAATTGGTGACCAAAGGAGCAAGGAAGGAGAATGCATCTTCACTGAAGCCTCCAGGGTTGAGATTTGTCAGATAGTTCCTAGACTGCTTATTAAGCTCTTTAGCTACAAAAAAGTCCTTGTTTCATTCCATTCTTGTAACATTCTTATTTTCATTAACTTTATCATTTCCTCTCAATTATGTCTTTATTCAACTGCCTTTCCACAAAATATTCATCTTATCTGCTGTGGAAATTCTTGCAGACATGGTCACCACATTGAAAATGTACCTTCACTTCCTATTGCTTGAGCCCAACTACTGGCTGTTCATTTCCAGGTACTCCGAAAGGGATAGCAGCAACGAGACCACCTCTAAAATCTGTGGACTGGACCTCTGATTTAACACAGGAACAAGGAAAAGAATAAGAAAGCAGTCATGCAAAGGGTCCCATCACCATGGGGAAGCTATACGCTTTAATGCTCTATCTGATCCAAAGCATATTTTTCTTTCCCTTTAAGAAGTTTTGATTACTTAAAAGAGCTCAGAATATTAAGGGCATCTATGCACCTTCAGAAACAGTAAACTGTCGATGAATATGCTGAGTAAGTTCTAAACTCAAGTTGGCAAGTCATTACTATATAAAAATTTATAACGTGTATCATATTTTTAAATACAAGACTATTTTTTATTTGAGACAGAGTTTCCGTTGTGTCGCCCAGGCTAAAGTGAAATACGAGACTATGACTGAGCATTGTTAACAAACATACTATTTTGCTTATCAGAGTTGAGTGGTAGTTTTAAGAAGTTAGTTTCTGCCAAAGCTTTAAAAAGATGAAAGGACTTACAACACTGTCAGACACAGCTAAGAAAAGCTTAAAAATAACTGACAAAAGAGGAGGCCCAAGAGACTTTATCCATTCATTCTTACCACCGCAAATACTGTCTGACAGCACATCTAGGTTCTCTGATGTTCAGTACAAGAGATTACGTATCTAACACTGGATTTTTATAAGTAAATACAAGAGTTTCTTGTTATAAAATGGTCTCCTGAGAAGTTCACAATACCTAGGTGTCTCTTTCAAGTAGAAACAAAGCCTCAAAAATTTAACTGCAACTGTATACATTTTACCATTCTGCCTTTTACCGTGAAATTTGTAGAAACCAAAAATACAAGATGCATTTTCTTCTCTTATGGCTGTTTATAGCTTTATGTATATAATAATACTGGGTAAAATGTTAATGGATCCCAAGGTTGAATAAAAATAGGTGTTACTATTAACCAAATAAAATTTTAGATAAACTATTCTTAATATGTGAACAAACAAAAATAACCTCATTCAATATGCTTCCTTTTGGATAGTATCTTAGAAATACCTTGATTTCATGCATCTGACAGGATGAAAAGGAAATGAATTTGATTGAGTTTACCATATAAAAAAAATGATGCTATTTGTTTGCTGATATTGTTAGTTCACTGACCAATTTATTTATTATCCATATTGTATAAAACATTAGAGCTTTCTAGAAAGTTGTAAAGATTTTGCTTCTCATTAATATAATGCTTAGCACACAGAAATTTTAAAATAAACATTAGTTATTATATTCATTGCTAAATTAACCTATTTCTTCCACTAATGCTCTGCATCTCACATACTCCTCCTTTTTCAGAAAACTTTCTATACTGATACTCTGTTTTGTGTATTTTTATTCTCTTGTTCTCTACAGTTTCCATTTCATTAATATTAGTATTGAATAAGGATCAAGTTTCGCAATGAAATTATTGACACATTCCCAACTCAAGTGCTTGTGACTCTCCACTGCCCCTCCTGGTGCCATTCTGCTATGTCACATAAAGTTGATCTACTCATTTCTAGGGCAGCTTGAATGTGCAAAGGATTTACCCTATTCATGAGACTCCTCAATTCCAGAGGGAAAAGAGCCCACTGATCACTGTGCAAGCTTTCCTCTCCCTCACTCAGACCATTTTGAGGCATGATCTGCACTATATCTCAGAGGCCCCCTCGCTGGATGAAGCCCTTATTGCTCACAATGATAATCCACACCTTAACCACACTTCGCTGGTATTTCTCCTTTTGGATATTACTTTATTTTTTTTGAACCGGAAATTGCTCAAATCCCTATTCAAATACACTTTTTGCCTCATAAGTCTTCTTTTCTGGGTCACCTTTTCGGAGGAATCCAATCTAAAAGAATCTCCATGACACTAAATTCAATATACACACTTTCACTTTTACTTTGCTTTGAGTTATGTTTGATATACTTGACAATCTCTGTACTAGGAGAACACTGTTTTCTTTTGTTTTATTGACACCATATCCCCTTGATTTTCCTTCTGATCAGTTTATTTCTTGTTATTCCTCTGATCAGTTTATTTCTTGTCTGTCTTTTACCTGTAGGCTTCTGTACTGCGTCCTTCTCTCTTTTTATGGTTACTCTTTATCACCTTCTTATTCTCACTGAATCTCCAGATATCATCTCTAGATATATCATTATTAACTGTCTGTTTTCACATACACATCTCTTTTAGGTTCTTTACCCAAATTATCAACATATTACTGGTTCTTTCCACTGAAACGTCTTAGAAAAGCATTCATCTTCTTAACACAATTTTGAGATGTTTATTGCCTGCAACCTTACCGTCTTCTAGTATTTTTTCTTCTCTACCTCAAAACATAGCACCACCTCTCACCCCTTTACTCTGGACAGCAAAATGAGAGACACTGCTGTTGTCTCCTTCTCATTCACATCCCACATATAACCAATTATCAAATCCTACTTAGTAAAGTTTCTATATGTGGTTAATGTGTGTGGTGTGTGTTTTTGCCTTTTTAGGTTTTGTTTTTTAACTGATATGGAATAAGTACAGAATTATTATACATATCTATGGAGTACACTGTGATGTGTGACTTTAAGTAGATGTTGTGATCATCTGTATGGCAATGTCTGCCAGTTCCAGAGTATGAATTAGAAATGTGGGAAATAATTTCTTGAGCCCATAGTACTGTGTTTAGAGTTGTTCTTTATTTTATGACAGAAGCAGATATTGATATAGAGAGATAATACTGCATACTATATGTAGATATAATCTCAGTATGTTTCTTTCTTTCCTAAAATTTAAACTATGTTGTCTACATGGTAAAGTCATATAGTTGGCCATAAATACACCTGCAAATGATGGCCTGTGTTTTTCAGGCGCCAAGAGAAAACTATCCAGGGATGATGACTTGGCCATGGCTAAAGGCCTGAGGATTACTTCTTAAGCATACCACATTGTTGCCCATCCCTTGCTTTGAAAGGCACAGGTAGTGAGTACATAACAGTCATAATAAAAATATTTAATTTTTTACTTTCTTATCCTTTCTTACTCCTTTTTAAATATATATAAATTTAAAATTTGTATAAATTTAAAAAGTTACATCTATACAATGAGTAGCAATTAAGCCAGGACATGTAGCGTCTTCATCACCTGTGTACAATATATTTTTTGCTAACTATATTCACCCTACTTTACTATCAAATATCAATTTTAGCCTTTCTGGCTCTCTGAGGAGCCCCCTGGTGGTTGGCAAAAACAACACCTCACAAAAGGTGGCAGAAAGGAGCCAAGAAAAAAAGGTAGTTGATCTATTTTCTAAGAAAAATGGTGTGATGTAAAAGCACCTGCTATGTTCAATATAAGAAATACTGGAAAGACACTAGTCACTGGGGCTCAAGCAACTAAAATTGCATCTGACAGCATCAAGGGTCATGTGTTTGAAGTGAGTTTTGCGTACGTGCAGAATAATGAAGGTAAATTTGGAAAATTCCAGCCGATTCCTGAAGATGTTCATGTCAAAAACTTCCTAACTTCCACGGCATTAATCTTACCCATGATAAAATGTGTTCCACAGTAAAAAGTGGCAGACCATGATTAAAGTTTTTTTGATGTGAACACTATTGGTGTTGATTTGTTTTGTCTGTTCTGCATTGGTTTTACTAAAAAATGCAAAAATTAGATCTAGACCTCTTACACTCAGCACCAGTGGGTCCACCAAATCCAGAAAAAGAAGATGGAAATCATGACCTGAGAAACAAATGACTTGAAAGAAGTGGCCAATAAATTGATTCCATACAGAATTGGGGGCGGGGGGAAGCCTTGCCAATCTATTCATCCTCTCCATGATGTCTTTTTCAGAAAAGTAAAAGTGCTGAAGTAGCCCGAGTCTGAACTGGGACAACTCACGGAGTTTCATGGTGAAGGTAATAGTTCTGGAAAAGCTACTGGGGATGAGACAACTGCTAAAGTTGAACAAGTTTGTGAGTATGAACAACCAGTTAAATAATCTGTTTAAAGTTCAGACTTTTAAAAATATAAATAAGAAGTCCCATTTGTGGAAAAAAATAAACTTATTTTTTCTGTCTAACTGTATGTTTTTACACCCTTTAACCTACTTCTCTTTAGTCTTCTCTCTACCCTCAACTTACCCTTTCAGTCTGTTATCTATTCTGTCATCTCTCTTACTCCTTACCTCTATGTAATTAATTTCTTTAACTCATAAGTGAGAACATGCAATATTTTTCTTTTTGTGCCTGGCTTATTTTACTTAGGATAATAACCACCAGTTCCATCCATGTTGCTGTAAATGACATGAATTTTCTCTTTCTCATGCACAGGTAGCATTTCTTAGTGTATATGTACCACATTTTCATTATCCATCCATCCGTTGGGGGAAACTCAGGTTGATTTTGTATTTGCTATTTTGAATAGTGCTGCAATAAACATGTGAGTGCAGGCATTACTTTATTAATTTATTTTGTTGATATCTGGTAGTGACAATGCTCTATCAAACATTAATTCTGGTTTTAAAATTCAAGAAATTGTCCTACTATTTTTCATAGTGACTGTACTGATATATATTCCCACCAATGGTGTTTGAGAGTTCCTTTTTTGCCACATTCTCACCATTATCTGTTATTTTTTGGTCTTTTTAGATGCCTAATAGGCATTCTGACTGGGATAAAAGGGTATCTCAGTTTGGTCTTCATTTGTGTTTCTCTGATGATTAGTGATGTGAAGCATTGTTTTGTATACCTGTTGGCCATTTATGTCTTCTTTTCAGGAATGTCTATTCCTGTCCTCTGCCCACTTTTTAACAGGATTGGTTGTTTTTAATTTATTGAGTTGTTTGAGTTCCTCAAATACTATAAATATTAGACCCCTGTTAGACTAACAGTTCACAGATATTTAATCACATTCAACAGTTTCTTCACTCTAGATTATCTATTTTGCTTTGCAGAACCTGTTTAGTTTAATTAAGTCCTTCCTGTGCTTTTGAGGTCTTAGTCATAAATTCTTGGCCTAGGTCAATGTCCAGAAGAATTTTGCTTTAGTTGTCTACTAGTATTTTTATACTTTCAGGTTGTACATTTAAATCTTTAATTTATTTTGAGTTAAGGTCTATATGATGAGAGATAGGAGTTCAGTTTTATTCTTCTATAGCCAATTTTCTTAGCACATTTATTGAAGAGGGTGTCTTTTCCTCAGTATAAATTCTCAGATTTGTCAAAAATCAGTTAGCTGTAAATACGCAGCTTTATTTCAGGGTTCTGTATACTGTTCCATTGGTCTATGTATCTATTGTTATACAAATACTGTGCTGTTTTGGATACTATGACTTTGTAAAGTCAGGTAATATGACGCCTCCAGATTTGTCCTTCTTGCTCAGGATTGCTTTGGTTATTTGGGCTCTTCTTTATTTTATATTACTTCTAGAACTATTTTTTCTAACTTCGTGTGAAAGAATGTTGGCATTTTAATAGGGATGGACTGAATCTGTAGACTGCCTTGAGTAACATGATAATTTTAGTGATATTAATTCTTCTGGTCCATGACCATAGGATGCTTTTCTATTTGCTGGGGTTGCCTTCAATTTCTTTAATCAGTGTTTTGTTAGTTTCCCTAATAAAGCTATTTTACCTCCTTGGCTAATTTTATTGTTAGGCATATTTTTGGCAACTTTTATAAATGAGATTGCCTTATATATTTTTTCAGCTATATTATTACTAGCATATTAGGCCAGTGCAGTGGCTCACCTCTGTAATCCCAGCACTTTGGGAGGCTGAGACGAATGGATCACTTGAGGTCAAAAGTTCGAGACCAAACATCGCTAACATGATGAAAACCCATCTCTACTAAAAAGAATTACAAAAATTGGCCCAGCGTGGTGACATATGCCTGTAATCCCAGCTACTCAGGAGGCTGAGGCAGGAGAATCATTTGAATCTGGGAGGCAGAGATTGCAGTGAGCCTAGATGCCAAGATTGTACCCCTGCACTCCAGCCTGGGTGATAGCAAGACTCATCAAAAAAAAGAAAAGAAAAGAGGCCAGGCACAGAGGCTTATGCCTGCAATCCCAGCACACTGGGAGGCTGAGGTGGGTGGATCACAAGGTCAGGAGACCGAGACCAGCCTGACCATCATGGTGAAACCCTGTCTCTACTAAAAATACAAAAATTAACTGGGCGTGGTGGCACATGCCTGTAGTCCAAGTTACTTGCGAGGCTGAGGCAGGAAAATCTCTTAAACTCAGGAGGTAGAGGTTTCAGTGAGCTGAGATTGCACCACTGCACTCCAGACTGGGGAACAGACGGAGGGAGGGAGGGAGGGAGGGAGGGGAGGGAGGAAGGGAGGGAGGGGAAGGGATGGGAGGGGAGAGGGAAGAAAGAAAGAGAGAAAAGAAGAAAGGGGGGAAGATGAGAAAGAAGAGAGGGAGGGAGGGAGGGAGGGGAAGAAAGAATGCTATTGGTCTTTGCATGTTGACTTTCTATCCTGCCACTTACTGAATTCATTAATCAAATCTAAGATATTTTTGGTAGCCATTGGGTTTTTCTAGATACAACATCATATCATAAGCAAAGAGGGACAATTAGACTTTCTCTTTTTCTATTTGGATGACCTTTATTTTTCTTTTGCCTGATATCTCTGGCTATGACTTTAAGTACTTTGCTGAATATGAATGGTGAAAGTGGCCATCCTTGTCTCGTTCTAGTTCTTAGATAAAAGGCTTTCAGTTTTTCCCCATTTCATATGATGTTAGCTGTTGGTTTGTTATATACGGCTTTTATTATTTTGAAGTATTTTTCCTTCTACGCCCAGTTTGTTGAGAGGTTTTATCATACAGGTATGTTTCATCAAATGCTTTTTCTGCATCTGTTGAGATTATCATATGGTTTTTTTCCTTCATTCTACTGACATGATATATCACAGTTTAACCAACAAAGATTACAAGAGACAAAGAAGGGCACTGCATAACTGTAAAGGGATCAATGCAACAAGAAGAGCTAAGTTTTATGACTGCTTTATATATTATTTATTTATTTAATTCTTCTTCCATTGTTTTTCATTTTAGTTTGGTGGATTTCTGTAATGATAATATCTGCATCATTTCTCTTCCTTTTTGTGCAATTACTTCACCAGTGAGTTTTATGATTTCATGTGTGTTCATGATGGTAAATGTCATGCTTTAAATTCTAGATTTAAGAGCCCCTTAAGTACTTCTTTTAGGGCCTCCCTAAATATCTCTCGGCATTTGCTTGTCTGGAAAATATTTTATTTCTGTTTCATTTATGAAAGATAACAGTGCTGGATATACCTTCTTAGTTGAAAGGGTTTTAGTTTTCAGCACTTTTAATATATAATTTCACTCTCTTCTAGTGTGTAAAGTTTCTATTGAGTGATTTGCTGTTAGTCTCAGGGAGTTCCCTTTACAGGTGACTCAACATTTGTGTCTTCTGTTTTAGGATTTGTTCTTTATGTTTAACTTCATACATCTGCTTATAATGTGGCATGGAGGAGAAACTTTTGCATTGTATCTGCTTGGGGATAAATGAGCCTCCTGCATTTACATGTTTAAATATCTTGATTCACTTGAGAAGCTTTCATGTATTTTGTTATTCAATATGTTTTCTTTTCTTTTCCTTTTTTTAAATTTATTATCTCTATGCCCTTGGTGATTCTGATGCTACAGTGTTGGACTAAACTGGTCAATCCCCAGCACCCTGGCTATGTGATCTATCTTGGAAGGATGGGTAAAATCAAGTGAGAGACCATGCACTCAGGTCCCACCAACATGAGAGAAAGCACCAGTCAAGACGGGTCAGGGCAGAGTGAATCTCAGGCCCAAGCAGAGTGCTCAAGTAAGGCGTGGTTGCGGCTGTACTGAGGCCCTGCCACTGGAGGGAATGGGGCAGGTTTCACTGGACACAGCTTGGGCCAGAGGTGGGGCAAACAGTCATCCCTCTCATGCCATAGTCCCATCAGTTCTGGCAGCACATGCCTAGTTCACAGCTCAGCCCAGCTATAGGAACTGCCTTCCCAGTTTGCAACTCAGGCCTAGCAGCAAGTTTTACCCAGTTTGTACCCTGGTCTCAGTCATATGGACCTCACTTCCCAGAACCAGCAGCTGAAGTTCATGCCTCATTCACTCATCAACTCCAAATCTGGGAGCTTATTCCCAGATTACACCCCAGTTCCAGCAGCAACAGCCCAAGCTTTCCTAGCACGTCAGCCCCAGTGCCACTGAGCTCCAGGACAGTATCCATTCTGTTAAAGGCTAGGATTCAAAATGGCACTTGGCTGTAACGACTTAGGTCCGAGAAAGGGTGTGGGACCAAGCACAAACTTCGTCTTGAAACAGATCTGTCTCACAGTCTCCTGGAAGCTCCCTGTGTATTTTCCAGGCTTCACAGGGTCAAAGTGCTCTCCTATGGCAAGATTCCACGGTGGGAATGTGGACTACCTCAATTCTCTCACTTTCTCTTTCTCCGTGCTGGGAAGTCACTCCCATCTCCCAGCCAATCCCAGCCAAGCACACTGCCTTCTTCTGTCTCTTCTCCTTCCTTGATTTCAATGTTTCCTGTCACGTTTCTGTTGCCTTCCAGTGTTATTTCTTTTATAATGTAATAAAAGCGATTGTCTACACACTATTTTTGTTCTTCTGAGTAAAGGAGGCAAGCATGAAATTCTTCTAGCCATTTGAAGCTCCTTGTGTGTTTTTAATAATATCACTTCTCTTTGCCACTTCTACATTTTCATCTTTAGAATTAAAAGTAACATGATCTTACTTTACGTACTGGATACCCTAAATTGTAGTCCATGATTGCTGCTTTATTCCACACTGTGGGAGCAGGGGAATGAATTCCTGAGACCACTGACCCACTGCCGTGATAACTGCATTAATCAATTCAGGAGAAAGAATCTAATCACCTCTTAATGATCCCATCTCTTAATTCTGTCACAGTGTCAATTAAATTTAAACCTGAGTTTTAGACAGGACATTCAAACCATAGTAGTGACTGAAGGTATATGAATCTGAGGTTTTGGATTTAAAATGTGAAGGTAATCAAACTTCCTTTGAGACTAATAAAAATATAAAGGAGAGAGAGATAAAGAAAAAGGCACTTTTACAAAGTATCATAATCACCAGATATTTAGCCAAGCAGAAATGAAATTTAAACAACTATTCACTTATCAGCATGAATAAATCTTACAAATATATAAAAATGTATGCTTATGTAATTAATTTTTAGAAACATATGAAACTTATTATTAATAAACGTTTAAGATTTTTTTTTTGAGACAGGATCCCACTATGTTTTCCAGGTTGCAGTCACACAGGTGATCACAGCACACTGCCTCCAGAAGAGCCAGAATTATAGGTGTGCGCCACCACGCCAAGCAATTCCAGACATTTTAAATTGTGCACTGTTCTGAGTAGCTTGATAAAATCTCAGTTTCTGCTGCATCATGCCCTGTACACGCGTCATCCCTTTGTGTAGTTATTCATGTTACATGCTACCAGCCCCTCAGTTACTTAGGCATCATCCAGGATACTTCAGTGCTTGTGTCCAGATCACCTTTATTGTACTTAATAATGATCCCAAAGCACAAGATTAATGATGCTGGCCATTTTACTATGCTACAGAAAAGCCATCATGTGCACTTCCTTTAACTGAAAAGGTGAAAGTTCTTGACTTAATAAGGAAACAAAAACAAAAGAAAAAATGTATGTTGAGGTTGCTAAGATATATGGTGAAAACAAACCTATCTGTGAAATTGTAAAAAAAGTAAAATAAATTTCTGCCTAGACTATATAGGCTTCAGTACTATTTGCAGTTTCAGACATCCACTGGGGATCTTTGAACATATGCTTGGTGAATAAAAGGAGACTACTATATAATTAATATGCATATATACATATGTAGAAACATGGTAGCTATGCACAGGAATGGTAAACACTGTGCTGCCACTGCAAATTGAGTGAGGGAAAAAAATTACAGAGAGGTGCCCAATAGAATTCAACTGTATCTTTCATGTTTTATATGTTAAAACAAAATAAACAATGGATATTAGATATATAAGGCTTAATATTAGCAGATGAAAACGTGACTGGATAGTTTATGGATGTCATTCACATTATTCTCTATAATAGTTTAAATTTTTGAAATATTTTACATTTTTAAAATTAGATAAAACTACACCTCCAAGAAGATGCAGTAGATATATTTTCCCCATTCTTCCTGATATGTGCTAGTAAAACCTCTGGGCATTATGTATAAAATATAAGACCCTGAAAGCTAAAAAGAATTATTATTGGCTAGAGACCTCAAAACTAAAAAGTTGGATACACAGTGAGCTCCCTGAGTTTTATTTTTGCCTCATATCTTTCATGCCAGGTGCTGGAGAAGCCTGAAACCAGAATTGTCAATGGATGCAGGCAAAATAAGCCCCTTAAAACCAGTTCTCTTGACACAAATGAATAGGAAAAGCAAAACCTAAGGAAGCAGAAGTTTAAGAAAGCAACCTTTCTATTACCACCAACCACCACCAGCCAAGTGGCTTAGGCTTTCACCTTTGACAGCTTATAAAAAGACATCCCAACTCCGCTGCTGGGGAGGTTTTTAATGCGGCCACATAGGGAACTGGAGCTTTATCACATCCAGGTAATCACCAGCTCCAGTGCAACCTCTTCCATGATGGCAGTGGAAACCATGCAGAAAGCCTGGACTTTCACTTCCATCAGAATTAACAAGGACTTCCTCTTCCTCACCTTCCTTTAAGTGTAGAGGCAGAGGAGATACCGGATGGAGTCAATACTTTCACCCAGATCAGAGGGTAACAACAACATTCCCACTGCAGTGTCAATGGAGACTACTTGGGAACAGTGACAAGACACTTCCACCCCTCTTAAACAGGAAGGCATCATGGGATACCTGGTGAGAAACAGAAACTCCTACCACTGTCTAAGGTAACAAGGTGTCGTCCCCTTTGATCTCAATGGAAACACATTGGAGATTCTGAGTCGCTGTCCTCTTAGTATTAAGGGGGTAAGAAGGCACGTCAAATTATATAGCAAAAAGAGAAGGCTTAAATTAGATTGAGAGTCTCACAGCCTAACAGAAAAATGTCCTGGTTTTAATAAAAAATCTGGTCTTACACCAAGAATTAGAAGTATCTCAAACTGAATGGAAAAAGACGAGCATTGCAAATGGCAGAGTGACAGAGATATTGAACTATCTGACAAAGAGTTTTTAAAGCAGAAATCACAAAATGCTTCAATGAGCAACTGCAAATGTACTTCACCCAGCTGAAAACTTCGAAAGTGTGAAAGTTATGAGGACAAAAATGGAGTCACTTGTGTTAAAAACTGTACCAAACGGAGGTGGAGAAGCCTGGGAGGGGAGGGTTTTTATGCATACATCCATAATAGCAAGAACAATCACAAAAGACTGCAAAAACCACAACTTTGTGTAAAGGCCATCACAGCCTTACACATAAAAAAGATACTTCTGTAAGGATACCTGCTTGGCAGCTGCCTGCGCAGCCTCAGGCTGGTGCGATCCTTGTTGTTGATCCTTGCAGTCAAGGATAAATATCTGAAAATAATTATACAATCATTCTCACTTTCTCTGTAAAAACTTCTGTCTGCCTTTACCTCCCTGAATATGCTCATTATTTACTATGACATGCGTATTCCTCTCACAATATCCACTCCCAAATAGACAATTTCTTTTAGAGAGACTCTCTCTGTTAATTATTTAGGCTTTGACAAAATCCTAAAATAACTCTTAACTCCAAACAAGAATTGATATTGCAAACCAAACAGCTGCCAAGAAAACTGAAGAGAGGAAAGTACAGGGTGTCACAGTTTATGGGTGGTAGAGATGGAGGAGAAGCCTGCAGCTGTAGTAGCCTAAATGCTGGAACGAAAGTGAGGGCTACTCGGAGAGCTACAAACTTCCAGGACTCACTCTTGGTCTGGGGTTGGGGTGAATCCTACATTTTAAAAATTATTTTCCCCCAGTACCTTCACTAGGTTCTCATTGTGAGGATCAGAGGAACATCTTGTCATGCTTTGAGTAGGAGAAAAAAACAGTACCACCAGCTGTGGCCTACTGGGAAACACACACACACACACACACACACACAGTACCACCAGCTGTGGCTTACTGGGAAACACACACACACACACACACACACACACACGGAGAAAATTCCCTCTAGAGACTTAGTTATATTATTGTAGAACACTTCTCCCCAGTATCTTACCACTACAACAACAGAGCTCCAGGATAATAACAGTGAACCACAACTGAACAAGCTGCAAGACACAAACTCCGTTTACAAAGTCTCTAGGGAAACTCAAAGTTAACCGTGGGGTAAAAGTAAGGACACTAGATAGGATTGAAGACTGATATCTATAGGCGTAACAAACACTAAACACTGGATAACTCCTGGTTAGATAAACATAGAATTTCATGCTAAAGGACTGTTTATCTCAGTTCCCACTACTTGATCTCACATGTCCGGCTTTCAATAAAAAATGTAAATACAAGGCATGATAAAAGATAAGAAAAAGCACATCCTGAAGAGAGGAATTGAAGCAAGCATCAGAACCAGATTCAGATACAGCAGAGACATGAGGGGAAAGAGAACCAGGAATTTAAAATAACCATAATTAATAAGTTGATGGTTCTAAAGAAAAATAAAACAGGTAACATGAAAGAACAGGTAGGTAAGGTAAGTAAGAAGATTTAAACTGTAAGAAAGAATAAAAAGAAAATCCTAGAGGCTAGGCAAGATGGCTCATGTGTGTAATTCCAGCACTTTGGGAGGCTCAGGCAGGAGGATCACTTGAAGCCAGGAGTTCAAGACCAGCCTGGCCAACTTGGTGAAACCATGTCTTTAGTAATACACAAAAATTAGGCTGGGCATGGTGGCTCATGCTTGTAATTCCAGCATTTTGGGAGGCCACGGCAGGTGGATCACTTGAGGTCAGGAGTTCGAAACCAGTGTAGCTAACATGGTGAAACCCTATCTCCACTAAAAATACAAAAAAATAACCAGGTGTGGTGGCACGTGCCTGAAATCCTAGGTACTCCAAAAGCTGAGGCAGGAGAATCACTTGAAACCAAGAGGCAGAAGTTGCAGTGAGTGGAGATCTCGATACTGCACTCCAGCTTGGGCAACAAGAGCAAAACTCCATCTCACAAATAATTAATAAATAAATAAATAAGACACAAAAATTAGCCGGGTGTGGTCTCAGCTACTTGGGCAGCTGAGGCATGGGAATTACTTGAACCAGGGTTGCAGAGGTTGCAGTGAGCCAAAATCATGCCACTACACTCCAACCTGGGCAACACAGCGAGACTTTGTCTCAAAAAAAAAAAGATAAATATCCAGCACTTTGGGAGGCTGAGGCGGGTGGATCACAAGGTCAAGAGATCGAGACCAGACTGGTCAACATGGTGAAACCCCGTCTCTACTAAAAATACAAAAAATTAGCCAGGCGTGGTGGCACGTGCCTGTAATCCCAGCTACTCAGGAGGCTGAGGCAGGAGAATTGCCTGAACCCAGGAGGTGGAGGTTGTGGTGAGCCGAGATCGCGCCATTGCACTCCAGCCTGGGTAACAAGAGCAAAACTCTGTCTCAAAAAAAAACTCTTAAATAAAATGTTAGAAATGTTAAAATAATTGTACAGAAATATAGAATTCCTTTGATGACTTACCAGTAAATTAGACAGAGCCAAGGAAAGAATCAGCGGGCTTAAAGATATATTGCTAGGAACCTGCTGTACCGAAATGCAAAGAGAAAAAAAATAATGAAAAAAAGCAATTGGACAAAATGGTCAAGAATTGTGGGATACTTATAAAACATACAACATGTAATGGAAACGTCAGGTGATCAGAAATAGAGAAATGAGCAAGACAAATATTGAATCATTTGAAAAATTAATTGCTGACAATTTCTCAAAATTAATGACATACTCAAAACCACAGATTTAAGAATTTCAGAGAATACCAAGTATGAAAACTCTTAAAAAATTGATGCCTAGGTACGTCATATTTATTTAATTCAAAACAAAAGACAGAGAAAATCTTGAGAGAAGCCAAGGTGTGTGAGGTGGGGTCATGCGAAAGGTTACCTTTAGAGAAACGAAGAATTACAATAGACTTCTCTTCAGAAACCATACAAGCAAGAACCGAGTGCAGTGAAATATTTAAAGCATTGGAAGAAAAACCAAGCAATCTAGAATTCTGCATCAAGTTACATTACCCTTATCGTTGAAGAATTAAGTCTTTTTCAGACAAACCTGGAGGCATTTGTTGGCAGTAGTAGATACAGCTTGCAATGTGTCAAAACATATTCTCCAGAAAGAAAATGGTATGTCAGAAAATCAGTCTTTTCATAAAGAAAGGAAGCACATTAGAGAAGGAAGAAATGAAGGATTTTCAGTGCAATGCTGAATAAAAGTGTTGAGAATGGATGCCCTGGCATTGCTCCTGAACTTACTGGGAAGCATTTAATGTTTTATCTGTCAATGTTACATGAACAGAAGCCATTTTGAAGATGCTGTTTGTCATATCGAAGTTTCATTCTGTTCATACTTTTCTGAGTTTTCAATAATAGATGGATGCTGAACTTTGCCAAGTGAGTTATCTGCATATATTAAGATACTGTATTATTCTTCTCTTTTATACTCAATACAGTGAATTCACTAATGGATTTTTTAATGCTAAGCCAATCGTGCATTGTTGAAACAAACCTCACTTAGTAGTAAGTTATATTTATTTTTATAGATTGCTCTGGTTTATTTTGCCGTTTTTTTCAAGAATTTTGAATCCATTGTCATGATATATTATTTTGTTTACTTGTAATATTTTGGTCTGTAGATCAGTTTCTGATACTGATCAGAACACAATACTACAAAGTTATGTCCAACAATATAAATTTATTGTCTCACAGGTCTGAAAGCTAGAAGTCCAAAATTAAGTTGTCACCAGGACCCTGCTCTCTCTGAAATTTTAGGTAGAACTCTTTTCTCTTACTAGCTTCTGGTGGTTTGCCTGCCATCTTTTATTACTTTAGAAGTCCAGTGCAGCATTTTTATCTTGATTTTAACTTGATTATATATACAAAAATCCTGAATCCACATAAAGTCACATGCACAGGTACTAGAGATTAGTGCCTCAATTTGTCTTTTTTGGGAGACATTCTACCCATAACATTATTTTTGTATCAGTATTATGCTGGCTTTATAAAATGTATTGGGATTTTTTAAATTCTATTTTGTGAAAGCTATGGTATATAAATGCTGTTAATTCTTCTATAAATATTTAAGATAGCTCAAATAAGAAAGCATATGGCCCTTGAGTTTCCTTTAAGGTAATGTTTTTGATAAATTGAATTTGTTTAATTGAAAGGATGACAGATTATTTTATTTTCAAAATGCTAGAAAATTCTGTTGTTTTGCTAATAAGGTGGTTTGGTAGACAGCATAAACCTTTGAATATCTTTACTTATATGGCAAAAAGGACTTTTCAGGTAATTATCTAGAGATGGAAAGATTATTTTGCATCATTCAGGAGACCTAATGTAATCATGAGGCTCTTTATAAGACAGAGTCGGGAGAAACAGAATCAATAGGAATGTGGACAGCATTTAGAATCTGGAAAAGCTAAAACATGGATTATCTCCTAGAACTTGCAGAAGGGCACAGCATTATCAATTCCATGATTGCAACATAGTGAAACTGATTTTGGACATCTGATCCACAAAGCTGTAAGTTAATACACTTGTACTGGTTTAAGTTACTAAGTTTGTAGTAATTTATTACACTAGCAATGGAAAATTAATATAAAGTAAATCAAAATCATTTTGACAAACTAAACAATAGATTTTCTTTTACTATACCGAAACAGGAAGAATTAATAATTAAAATATTTGAACTTATGTATTTGTGCTTCTGATTTTCTTATTTTAATGAGAGGTTTTGCTTTGCTAAAATTTATTTTTTACTTGTTTTCTACTATGGTACCATCGGATTTTTTAGTCTCAAAGGATTTTATTATAGCAAATTTCTTGCCCTTCCTTTAGAGATCTGAAAGAGGTCACTGGATGCTTATAGTATGCTGTAGTATCGTTTCGACAATTGCTTTTTCAATTGCTATTTACTCAACAAGTGAATGTTTGAGCTGTTCTGTTGAGTGATGCCTTGTTTGTGTTAAAGGCATAAGAGAACAGAATATTCTCCTTTAGGAATACAGATCAATATTACACAGACATTACTTTTATAACCCCAATTTTGGTGTTGTTTTCTTTGTGTAATTCTAGAATAGGATCTGACATTTGTAAACTCATTGATCAAAAAAGTAAGCTTTTCTTTAGGGAAGTTAGAAACAATAATGCAAATAAGGTCTTTATGAAACAGGAAAACCACTTTGATTATTTTCTCATTGAAACAAATATGTAGAAACTATGGAAACTTAATGCAAATATAATAGCAACATTTTCTCTCTTGTATTTCTCTCTTTCAAACAAAACTTGTTTTCAGGCAAAGTCAAATTGTTTAGTGCAGCACTGTTGAGTAACAATTTAATATAACCAACATATGTAATTCAATTTTTCTAATAGTCTCATGCTTTTTTCAAAAAAGGCAAACAGAATTGGGTAAAATTAATTTTAGTAATACATTTTACTTAGCCTGCTATATCAAAATATTGTTCCTTCACAACTAATCTAAAAATCATAATTGAGCTTTTACATTTTTTAAAACAAAGTCTTTAAGATCTGATATGTATTTCGTATTTACAGGACATCACAATTAGAATAAGCAACATTTCAAGTTCTCAGTATCTAGTAACTACCACAGTGGATGACATGTGTGTGTAGGTAATCTAGGAAAAAATAATCCAGAACCAAATCATTGTAATGAACATAATCAAAAGTCCTAGTGGTTTCCATTAGTCTTAAATACTGTTCCACCAAATATAAAATTCTCCCAAGTTTTTCTTTCTTGGTTTCATGATTTTTATCCTAATGAATAGATTATTAATATTTCATGCAAGGACTTGACAAGATAGCATCATTTTGGAGGCTACAGCATGTTAAAGAGAATTAAGCACAAGAAATCGTAATATAGATTTGTGTAATAAAAAGAAATAGGACCATAAAAATCAGGTAATTAGAAGTAGAAGCCTTTCTCCAGTAATAAGTAGTGGCAAATATTTTGCACAGTTAATATAATGACATAGTTTTATTCAAATGCTGTAAGCGTTTTATGATTAAACATCAAATCATTTCAGAAACAAACAAAAAAGATAACCTTGTAGGTTATAAAAATATTAAAGACCCATGGGTCAAAACAACTTCACACATTATAAAAAATCACATGAAGATTATTTGAAGCATAAAAAAAAAACTAATGTGCTGAAACATAAGAGACTACCCTAAATATAACACTGTTTGATGTTATTATTTAGAAAAGATACATACTTTGGCTCTACTGTATTAACAAAAAGATGTCAAATTCATGCTACGGATAAGATAATTTTCACTGAATTTTTATAAATATGGGTATACTTTTGTTCAAAATTCCTTTCTACAAGAAACTTCATTAAGGCAATTTTATTAATTCTTACTTTATGAGCTAAGTTTTGACACAAATTTTCCCATGCATATTAGTCCACTCTTGAAGACTATAAAGAAATACCTGAGACTTGGTAATTTACAAAAAAAATTGGTCTTCTCTTGCACTGCTTTAAAGAAATACCTGATACTGGGTGATTGGCTCCTGGTTCCTCAGGCTGTACATGAAGTACCCTGGTAACATCTGCTTCTGGGGAGGCCTCAGGGAGCTTTTACTCAAGGTGGGAGGCAAAGTAGGGGCAGGTGTCTTTTTTCTTTTTGTTTTGAGATGGAGTCTCGCTGTGTTGCCCAGGCAGTAGTTCAATGGTGCAATCTGGGCCCACTGCAACCTCCTCCTCCTCCTCCTCCCAGGTTCAAGCGATTCTTGTGCCTTTGCCTCCCAAGTAGCTGGGACTACAGATGTGTGCTAACACACCCAGCTATTTTTTTGTATTGTTAGTAGTCACAGGGTTTCCCCATGTTGGCCAGGCTGGTCTCAAACTCCTGGCCTCAAATGATGTACCTGTCCCCTCAGCCTCCCAAAGAGCTGGGATTACAGGCTGAGCCACTGTACCCAACCTTCTTTGTTTTATTATGTTTTGTTTTCCTATTCAGTACTGTATTATTTCGACCTAACACATATCTATCCTCTCATCCCTGAATACTCTGGATTATTTCTTTCCAAATCATCATACTATTTCCATTAATTATCAGGAATGGCTGGGCATTCACTCATGTGTTCATTTTTTTTTTTTTTTTTTTTTTCTGAATCTGACCCCCCTTTGGTAAGAAGAAAAGACAAAAAGCCTTGTGGCTTACTAGATGTGAAGATCCTGAAAATGATCATTACATAGTGTTTAAATAACTAAAGTCATTTCCAAATGGTCTCTCTTCAATGAAATATACCTAACGCATGTGATAAATTATTAAACTGAATCGCATTTTATTTTGGGGGGCTCCCTGGCATATAAAGTATGAATCATATCCTAGCATACCATTTTTCTTATTTTAACAGGACAAAGTTCTGGTAATTAGATTTGACATACCTGAATAAAATAATTTTACATGATTTTTCCAAAAAAAAAGTGAATGTCTATTACTTAGGAGTCTAAACAACATGAAGAATGAAGGGCCAAACTACCATGAATAAAATGTTCATAAAATATCACTGATTGTGATGATAGTTTCTTAACAGAACCCACCTAAGAAGATAAAATTGTTAAAGTTGACATCCCTGACACTTGTAATATAGACCTATATGAAAAGAGAGCAGCAATAAAGAGATCACTCAGCAACTCCCCAAATTTCTCAGGGTTTTCATTTGTCTTTCATGAAGTATTTTCACCTTAGTTTCCTTAATCTCATGCAAAATTGGTTCCTTGAAGTTAGTTCTAGACAATTAAATGTGCATTTTTAGATTAGATAATAGATCCTTGCTATAATCACAGGTGTCCTCATGAGTAAGAGAGAGGGGTACAACAGTCAGTGTCTCAGTGATGACATGTGACAACGATAGATAGGACTGGCCATGCTTAAAATCATTGTCCATATATGACTATCTTTTACTGACTCAATAAGTAATGTAATAAAACACCATGAACCCACCAAAAACCAAACAGAATTAGTATTACTAAATTTAACTATGGATTTTTTCCTTCCTACTTCCTTAGCTTCCCCTACAGGAACAACTACCCTTAACTCTTCATTAAATTTATGTGTGCATTTTTATTTACATTCATATTTATGTTCCCATTATTCGTATTCCCTCAAACACTTATATCAGATACAGCTCCATCTCATATTTATCATCTTCTGTGTATCTAGATATAAATATAGGTGATATATATTTTTTAATATCACTCTTCATTTTTATACTACCTTACAAAATAAAACCTTCAAATTTTAGTTGCTATCAAAATGTTTTAAAACATGCTGCACTGTATTTAGCCTGTAGTTATCTGCTTTGCCACTCAGACAATTTGCATGCTTGTGTAAAAGTTTGCCTGTGTTACTGAAAATATCTGTAGTTTGTTTGTATTATTTTATGTTATTCTATTACTGTTATTGTACCCAAATTTATCTATTCACCCAGCAAGAATTTTTTTTATTCTTCTTTACTAGTTAATAATTTAAAAATATGCATTTCTTAGTATAAAACATGTTTTATATCATTATTTTTATATTCATCTATAAATACCTTCTAATTAACATATTATATTTCTCTTCTGAGGCTCAAGATTTATCTTGATATATTTTAAAATATCAACCACTTTTAAATAGTTTTGTTGCAACAAATTTTATGTTTATTATATTATCTTATAAACTACACCAAAATGGTAGTCAGAAGGATTTTAAAACATGTAAGTATAGAAAACTGCATGCATATTAAATATAATATATAAATATGTAAATAATACAGGTACACAAACATATACTAAAATAAGCACCATAATTCACTATACTAATAGTTTGTTGACTATAGTTATTACCTCTTTCTGAAAGATTAGTAAATTCACCCCTAAAATAATTCAGCCCTCGTGTTTAATTTTGAAAAACATTTAACAAAGAATACCTGTGTTTTAAAAAGTTTATATCACACATTTTTATACCACTTAAGCCTCCTATTTTTTGTTTATGGGTTTATTCATATTTTTTAGTATTTTTGTGTCAGTTGTAGGAAGTTATATTTCCTAGAAAATTGTCAATATCAAGTAGAATCATACTTATTTTGAAGAATTTTGTCCACAATATCCCTTGCTGCATTTAAGTTGTGCTGCATCTTTAATTATGAAATGATATTCTCTCCTAATATTATTTGTTCCTTATCTGTTTCTACTGAATCCATTCTGCTACAGATAAACATGTGGGTATGTCTTGTCTAGTTTTTTGTTTACTATTTATAGCTGTTTTTATGTTTATCACATCCTACTCAGTAATTTCCCAGGAATTATTCTGATATATTTTCCTCACTTTTGAAATATTAAATTTTTAGTCTTTCTTTACTAGTTAATAATTTAAAAATACACATTTCTCAGTATACAACATGTTTTTATATCATTATTTTTATATCCCTCTATAAATAACATCTAATTAATATATGATATTTCTCTTCTTGGACTAAAGAATTATTTTGGTATATTTTAAACTATCAACCACTTTTAGATCATTTTGTTTGCAGTGTTGTTATCGTGGTTGTTTTTTTCTAATATAATTTGCATTATAGTAAGACAATATAAATGTTAGAGTTAAAGTAATTGGAAACTTGTGGAAACAATGTATAGTGCAATGAACTGTTAGTTTTATATATTATTAAAACTTTCAGGGATGACAACTGTTATTGTTAAGTCTTGTGTTGTAAATATATTCAAAAGACTGGTGGTTTTAAAGTGTACCCTATTATTAAAATATTTTAATATCACAATGTTTAAAAGCATAAGATATGTCTTTAAAACTAAATCCTATTGACTTTTATATGCTTATTTACCACTTCCTGAAAAATGTGTATTAATGTTTTCTAATCAGTTTTTTTTGTTCTGTTCATTATTCTCTATATATTTTGAGAGATGTATTTGCATAGGAGTTTGTAATTATTTTTATGTTCTTGTTAGTTAAAAATTTATTTTCAATATAGGGAAACTTATTCTCCTATTTATTTATAACTTTTTGAATTATAGTTCCTGTTTATATTTTAAATGTGTCTCTTGTAGCTAAAATTAAATCATGCTTTCATTCTTGTTTGTGTGTGTGTGTGTGTGCGTGTGTGTGACAGAGTCCTGCTCTGTCACCCAGGCTGAAGTGCAGTGGCATGATCTTGGCTCACTGCTTCTTTCGCCTCCTGGGTTCAAGTGATTCTCCTGCCTCAGCCTCCCAACTACCTAGGACTACAGGGGCGCAACACTATGCCTGGCTAATTTTTAGTAGAAGTGGGGTTTCATCTTGTTAGCCTGGCTGGTAACAAACTCCTGACCTCGTCATCTGCCTGCCTCGGCCTCCCCAAGTGTCATTCTTTCAGGCTTTCTCTGTGATTGGAATAATTTACCATTAATATATTTTTGGTGATGTCTTATTTATTTACCTTAAGTTATTACTTTCTATAATATTCATTTGCCATTTTTTAATTACGATTGTATTTTCCTATATTTTATGTTATAAATCCCAATGTTTTAAATTACGTATAGCATTTAATTTAAAATTGATCTTATTAGTATTGTTCTAATCCTGATAGGACTCTCGCATCTCTATAATGCAGTATCTCCTTTCCATTTCACATCATCTTCTCATTCAATTGTTCAGTTCTGTTCTTTTTAGGTCATATAATTTGGATATTCATGTTAAGATTTTATGTTATTTATTTAATTAGTTTTTTATTTTTTGGAGATCAAGTGTTATTCTGTTTCCAAGGCTGGAGGGCAGAAGTATGATCTTTGCTCACTGCAACCTCCTCCTCTAGGGTTCAAGCCATTCTCCTGCCTCAGCCTCTTGAGTACCTGGGATTACAGGCCCTCGCCACCACGCCTGGCTAACATTTCCATTTTTAGTACACAGGGGTTTTGCCATGGTGGCCAGGCTGGTCTTGAACACCTGACTTCAGATGATCCACCCGCCTCAACCTTCCAAAGTGCTGGGATCACAGGGGTTTCGTTAAGATTGCATGCAGATCAATCTCTCTGTAGAATTGCCTAAGTGTTTATCATATTCTATGTTGACATTTCTGTTTGCATCTTGAATTTTCTAAAATAATTATTTCTTGAAATATATTATTAATTTTTTTTAGAGATGGAATTTTGGAATTTAATATTTATGTGGTAGTTCTTTGATATATCTTGATTATTAACCCCAAACTGAAAGAGAATTTCTTTAGGTATACAGTTTTAAACTGACAGTTATTTCATTCTTCAGGCTTTGATAATACCAAGAGGCAGTTTTCCATCTTTAATTGCGTTGTTTTGATATCCTACATAAGTTTAGTTATTTGGAAGTAAAATAGATTTTTCTTATGTCTAATTTTATAATATTTGCTCTGTTTTCAGTTGAACAATATTTCACAATGATATACCAAGCATAGATTTATTTGTTTTTTTTTCTACTTCAAATTTGGTGACCTTGATGGATCTCAGGAATTATGTCTTTTATCAGATATATATGTTAGCAATTATTGGCCTAAGTAGTGAATCTCTCCTTTCTCTCTACTCATTTAAGAACTTCTTTCACAACAGGGCATGGTGGCTGTGCCTTTAATCCCAGCACTTTGGGAGGCTAAGGTGGGCCAATCAGGAGGTCAGAAGATTGAGACCAGTCTGACCATCGTAGTGAAACCCCATATCTACTTAAAATACAAAAATTAGCCAGACATGGTGGTGCACATCTGTAATCACAGGTACTCAGGAGGCTGAGGCAGGAGAATCTCTTGAACCTGGGAGGAAGAGGTTGCAGTGAGCCAAGTTCACACCACTGCAATCCAGCCTGGGTGACAGAGTGAGACTCAGTCTCAAAAAACAAAAACAAAAACAAAACAAAACAAAATAACTCATTTTACATATGTGTTACCACTTTTCACTCCATGCCTCTTAACTTCCATTGCATAGTTTTTTATTTCTTTGTTTTTCTGAACTGAATTCTATACAATGTATTAGGTTTTATCTTCAGTCACCAAATTAAGCACAGAAGTTAGTTGTCAAAAGTGGAATGAAATATTCAAATCAGGGATAGATCCAAAGGGACTCCAAACTAATAATAATAATTTGTTGCCTAAGCTGGACAGTCAGTACCTAAGAGCCCATTGTATGTTTCATGGTAAAATATAACATTGCAGTATGGAGGTATAATAAAATATTGATTTTGTTTTCAATACATTTTACTGAGTGAAATGGGGAGCCACATTTTAAAGAGTTTGATTCTTTATCGATAGTTCAAATCACATGCAAAACAAACTGGTAGAATTGTTAATATAAATATTAAAATAAAATTGTGTTACTAAGATGAAAATAAATAATATTTTTATGACCTTCAGATAGGCATATTTTATAATTTTAAATTGTAATTTTCTCTTTCAGTTGTTTTTAATGTTTAATTTATATAAATTCACTTAATTTTGTTTGAATGTACCTAAGTAGATTTTCTTTTAATCTCTTACTAATATTTACTCATTTCTCATAGTTACTAAATGATAGTTTGTGGAGAGTTGGATGAAATATTATGTCAGAGCAGAAAACTGTGAAGGAATTTCAATAATCTTCAATTGAAGTCTTAGTAAATAAAAGTTTACATATAACAATATTAAATACATCTAAGAAAAGGAGAGTTTAGTGTTGAAGACAGAAGAATAAAGATTTGCATTTTAGTGATTCCGAGTATAGTTTTGTAATTTCTTGAACCAAAATTCTTGATGACTTCAATAATGTTTATGCTATCTTCACCTGATCAGAGCCCACGTTTTCTTTTACTCCAACAGTAACAATCTTTGCTATTAACAAACTGCCACAAATTTCATGGCTTAAAGCAACACAAACTTATTATTTACAGTTTCAGAGCCCAGAAGCCTGAAATGAGTTCCACTGGGCTAAAGTCAAGGTGTTGGCAGTCTGGGTCCTTCTGGAGCACTAGAGGAAACATGTTTTCATGCTTTTGCCACCTTCTGGAGGCCATCTGTACTCCTTGGCTGCTGATCCTTTCCTTTATCTTCTGATTATACAACTCCAGTCTCTGCTTTGACGATCACATTACCTCTTCTGACTCCTTTTGTGTCTCACATGGTGATTGCATCAGGTAAACTTTGAGAATTAAGAATATTCCAGTAACCCATCCCAGGAGCTTTAACATAACAACAAACACAAAGCCGCATTCACAGAACCAGTGATTATGACTTGCACACCTTTGTGGGGAGGGAGAGTGTTGTTCAGCCTATTATCTTCACAGAACAATTATTCCGCATATTACAAATGAAAAGCCAAGAACTATTTTGTGTGTGTATGTTGGTTTTTAGTGCAGCGTTAGTCTCAGTCGAAATTAGTCAGTCTCTGCATTATGATTTTTAACAAAATAATCATTTAAATAACATTTCTGCAAGTGTTGTTAAAGCATATGAAATAATTGCCCTGACATATGAACCTGGAAATAATTCTGTAAAGACCAATCTTATCTTTTTTTAATATAATTTCCCTTTAGTGCTGCAAGCTTATAGATTATCTACTGCCTACTCAAAACTGTACCATTAGGCAGAAGTAATAAAACAGAAAACAAAAAAAGGTGTTATGGTGATGGCTAGAGAATGAAGAATTTGGCTATCAACTGCTCATTTCGTTGGCGTTTTTCAGTTGGATTAGTGACTCCGAGGGCAGCATCCATAAAAGCTATTATTTAATTTAAGCATTCAGTTATAATTCTAGGCTGGGCGTGGTGGCTCACGCCTGTAATCCCAGCACTTTGGAAAGCTGAGACAGGTGGATCACCTGAGGTCAGGAGTTCGAGACCAACCTGACCAACACAGAGACCAACATGGAGAAACCATATCTCTACTGAAAATGCAAATTAGCTGGGCTCGATGCAGTTCAAAATCCACATATAATTTTTAACTCCCTAAGAACTTAACTATGAATGTCCTACCCCCAATCGAAATTTATTGATAATACAGTTAGTCCATATTTTATGTGTGTGTGTATATATAATACACTGTGTTCTTACACTAACGTAAGCTAAGGAAAAGGAAATGCTTTTAAGAAAATTATAAGGAAGAGAAAACATATTTTCTGTTTGTTAAATGGAAGTGAATTATCATAAATACCTTCACCCTCCTGGTCTTTGTATTGCCTAGGCTGAGGAGAACTGTGAGATACCACTTTTTGCTGCTATATGCAATTTACCCGAGAGAGGAACTTCTCAGGCAGAGATAACTGGCATTGGAAGTGGATATCTACAACACTTGAGCTCACTGCAACAGCAATGGCTACGACAGCACCTTACATACTACAGCTAATTTCTTTGCAGTTATGATTTAATATTGAGTCATTACCACTGTTTACATGTCTCTCCATTCTGAATGGGGGCCCACAAGGAGTATGTAAGTATTTATGGATAAGGTTTGACAACTTTTAACTTTTCATCATAAATGTGTGGTTTTTATGGTAGAATAAGATAAAATGGATTTGTATCTCCACATATCTTATGCTTTAATGGCATACTTCTTTTTTTTTTTTTTAAGTTTTGATATTACTAGGCTACACAAGTTGTGAGTTTTTTTCCAATTGCTGAACGTCTCCAAAGTTTTTTCCAACGTATTTATTGAAAAAATATTGTAAGTGGATCCATGTATTTCAAAACCACATCGTTCAGGAGTCAACTTTAGTAAAAATAAATAAATAAATAAAAAGTGAAATAAACACAGGATTATTGTAATTTATACAATGTCTAGGGCCACTTAAAAACAGAGTAACTGTATCTTCTTTTCTTTAGGGTTAACAAAATATGTAAAGCTAGAAAGGAGCCATTTTAAAAGATCTCTCATACTAATGTATACCCCTACTCGCACACCTATGCTTTTCATTATAAAATCAAAAGCATAGGTGAGTCATCCAAAGAAAACCCATCAGCAGTGTGCCATAATTCTGTTTACAGCAGTCTAGTTTCCAACATATTTCTAGTATGGGGTTAGCTCTGATAATAAACCAAAGAATATCCAGTAACAACTCACTTTCAATTCGCACTTATACAGCATGACTGAGCAAGATACAACCAATGTCAATGGGAAAGGGAAAGATGTAAAAGCATCTAAGTTACATATACATTTTTATAAAAACTACATACAAGCAGAAATGAAAAAAGGAAGTAAGGAGAAAACAAAAAAGGTAGGTAATCAGACAGATTAGAGTGGTAGCTCACTAAATAGATGAATACAGAGAAGGAAGGAAGATGCTTCCATTTTCATCAAGGGATGTTTCCACACTCTTCTTTAGCGTTATTAGAGTTACACAGCTGTAATTAGTAAAATTGATAATTTTATTCCCCATGCTATGGAAAACTAGAATCAATGTCGAGGCTGTAATAGAACAGCAAGAAGTGGGAATCAAAGTTTTGTATCTCTGTAGTACATACACTTATTTGTTTGATGATATATACCAGCATTCTTACATCTAAAATGTTGTGCTGCTTTTTCTTTTGTGTGGTTCTCAATCTTGTCTGCACACTAATATGATGAATGATGTGTTTTAATATATCAATGTTTGTGCTCCATGTCAGACCAATTAAATCAGAATATCTAGTGAAAAGGCCCTGTCAAGATTTTTTTGAACTTTTAATTGATGTATAATACAAGAATAAACAAGTACATATATCATGAATATAACTGACATTTAATTTAAAATGTATTATAAGGAAATGCATCAAAATTAACACTAACATTGTTTTTATGGTTATAGTATAAAGAAAAAGACTGAAGTATTTATGTTTTCCTGTCATTTCCTTTTCTCTTAAGATCAATTTAATTGAACATAAAGAGGTCAAAATGATTCTAAAAGTACAAATTAACTACATAGTGATAGTGTATGCTAATTTTATCTCATAGTAAAATTTGACATACTCAAAGGCACACTGACATATAATGTGAAATACAGTCAGCATTCCATATCCATATCTGTGGATTCCACAGCCACGGATTCAGCCAACCAACCATGGATAGAAAATATTCAAAACAAAATTGTATCTTATCTGAACATGCACAGACTTTTTCTTTTGTCATGACTCCATGAACAGTACAATAAAACAACTGCTTGCACAGCATTGACATGTGTTAGGTGTCATGCATAACTCAGAAATGATTAGAGATTTAAGAGAGGATGTGCATAAGTTATATGCAAATGTAATTCCATTCTATATCATAGACTTGAGCATCCATGGATTTCTGATAGCTTTAAGGGATGTTTGAACCCAGTTAGGGATTTTGTTATATAATAAATAATATACAATACTTAGGTTTTAGTGTCTCTTGTGACACACAAAAATAATTTTGTGAGATGACAGATATGTTATTCTGCTTAACTACAGTAATTTTACTATCTGTATGTATCTTTAGAACTATATGAATCCCTTAACATTATGTTGGAAATCTCAAATGTATACAATAAAAAAGTGAAAAAAACATAAACTAAAAGAAAGTTGGCAAAAAGGTTAAATATTTTTTTAAAATTTACATAATTACTGAGTTATATATATCATAAAGTCCACATTATAAGGGTACAAGTCGCACATGTGTACTAATTGATTATATATGTTTACATTATGTACATATATACATATTTTTCTCATTAAAGACTCCCAGATGAGCACATAGAATATCGAAACCTTCTAAGACATAAGAAGGCTTCAGTGTCCACTTCTTAGTCAAAATTCTTAAACCAGAATTAACTACTTTTCTATCACTCTAGATTATGCTGGCCTTTTTTTTAATTCACATAAATTGAACCCGGCTTCTGTTGTTTAATATTTTGTTTATGTAACATTACTGTTGTGACCTGCAGTGTATTCAACTTCTTCCATATCTATAAAAAAATCTCAACACTAATTTTAAGAAGAATGAGAACACATGGACACAGAAAGGGGAGCACTACACACTGGGGTCTGCTGCGGGGAATAGGGGAGGGACAGTGGGGGGTGGGGATTTGGGGAGGGATAGCATGGGGAGAAATGCCAGATATAGGTGAAGGGGAGGAAGGCAGCAAATCACACTGCCACGTGTGTACCTATGCAACTATCTTGCATGTTCTTCACATGTACCCCAAAACTTAAAATGCAATAAAAAAAGAAGTTCCATTGTTCTTTTTCACTTTTGCTTTGAATTTGGGGGTGCGTGTGAAAGTTTGCTAGATAGGTAAACTAATATCAGAGTGTTGTACAGATTATTTTATCACTCAGGTATTAAGCCTAGTACCCAACAGTTGTCCTTTATGTTCTCTCCCTCACCCCACCCTCTGCCCTCAACAGACCTAGTGTCTGTTGTTTCCATCTTTGTGTTCATGAATTCTCATCATTTAGCACCCATTAAAAGTGAGAACATGCAGTATTTAGAAGGTTTTTCTTTCTTATAGGTGATATGACAATGCTACATCACTGGCTGTGGAATGGCTTCCATAAAACCATCAGTTCAAATATTGCTTGAGAACATGGTCTGGAGTTTCAAGTAATTTATTCCATGAAGGACTTCTTGCAAAAATTATCATATGCAGTCAATTTTTGCTTGTTCACCATTCTCCATTTCCATAATATCTGTATTATGGTCACTGGCAAAGGTTAATCAGTTGATACATTTTAGGCAGTTGGGTCCACATTTTGGGTACATTGCTTTAGTGTCTGTATAGAAGACATTAAATGAAAAGTTTGCTAAAGACTCCCCACCTGAGAATTGTGCACAGCTTCTAGCTACTGATAGAATCATAGGATAGGAAGACTCCTACATATGAAATTTGATTTACACCAGATGGTAAAGGAAATAGAAGGATATGACCAGACATTATTCCTGAGTTCATAATATTTTCTCAGATTTAGACATTCATAAAATTGTACAGGAAAAAAATTAATGCTTGTATTAAAGGAAAATAAAAAAAAAAACAGGTCACACATAAGCTGAAGTGAAATCCAAAATATGCAAATTTATAACCAAATGGAGGAAAGTATAAAATAATTTTCTATCATCTTTGAAGAAATGCAGCATTATTCTAGACTCAAGTATTCCAAAGCTCAAGTTATCTCAATTTTTTATACACAATGTCATAGATTAAATTTAAAACAAACAAGCATGTGTGGCAGATATGAAAATAAATTCAAAAAAAGAAATTTACATTAATAAAAAACCAATAGGGAACCAGGTAAAGGAGTTATTAAATACTTCAAAATAACTGCATTGAATATATCAAGAAAACTAAAACATTGAAAGAATCATGGCAGATGACTGGAATATATATAGCAGAACCAAATGAAAAATCTGAAACTGACAAAACAACAAGAATTCAATGGATGGAAATAAAAACACATTATGCAAAGATGAATAAAGAATTTGTAAACTGTGGAATAAATCAGAAAAGATCTACACTGAAATTTTGAGAGAAAAGCTACTCTAATAATAACAACAAAATAAAACAGAAAATTTGAACAACAGTCCAAGCAAAGGGAAGTTGTAAAACGTCTATAAGTTGACCTATTAAGGCTAAAGGAAACCAGCTAAATATAAAATGCTGTCTTCAAATCATGGAAAGAAAATTACTGGCAACACTGGATACTATATGCAGTGTAACTATTCTTCAAATTATAAGTGAAATGAAACTATTTTAATGCAGAGTAAATCTGAGAGATTTAATACCAGCAAATGCACAATGAATGAATATATACAATTCACAAATCATTGAGAAGAAAAGACAACGTAACAACATTCTCTAATCATTGAGAAGAAAAAAGACAACGTAACTTAAAAGTGTATACTACTTGAAGTAGCACTTTACTATTAGGATATCCTCTGACTAGCAACAAATTCTGATGAGGATATTCATGAAGAACCGACCTGAATAAAGTGGAGCTGGACAGAGGCAAACTTTACTCTAAGACAGCTAATACCATGCATTCCACAGCCAAATTATCAGGGCTTTCAGAAAAACCTATAATCAGGTAATTTTTTTTCCTAGCCTACTCAAGGGAAAATGCCACAATCTTTAATCTTTACAATTTTTATAGTTTCTTATGTTTTCATTATCATGAATATTTTCTCTCTCAGAAGGCATAAACCAATTATGTAATGATCATAAGATTTAGTTTAGCACTAAATAATCTTAAGGTTTAGTTTAGATTAAAAGAGTTTTATAAATAGCAGAAAATCTATAAAAGAGTAAAAATATATTAATCTTTTAAAATGTCTAGATGAAGGAAAAGTAGATAAAATATCATTGAGGAAATTAGATCTGCTGGCAATGTCATTTGTGAATGTCCTGGGAAAACTTTGGCAAAAAGCTGCATTGTGGAAGAAGTGCTGTTTTACAAAAAATAATAATAAAGAGTTTATCAACTCCTGGAAAAATTCAGAAGCAGTTATCAAAAACATATTTATCAAAGAGGAAAAATCTTTAGGCTTTGAAAATTAAAAATATCAAACTTTGAATGAAAGTGAAAACTACTCAAAATTGCATAAATTCTATAGGTCATAAAGTTCAAAAGTTGTACAAAATCTTTATGTGTGTCCTTAAGAATTATTTAACAAGTCTAATTTTGTAAACATGTTAACATGTATGCCTATATATTCTTGTTACACAGGTTGCACATCATTTAAACATTAACATTACCATTCAAGCTATGTTGGCACGTGGCTCAAAATAAATGTGGATATTCAATTAAATTTCAAAGGTTTATATTTTTGCCTGTTCTGAAACTAATAAAAATGGTATTTTGATGAAAGCATTTAATGCATGCCTAATGGGGGGTAACAGAAGACTGAATATACAAATATTAAATTATATAAATAATTTCTAAATCAGTATTAAATGTCACTATTAGGTTATTAAGTTTACAGACTTGCCATGAATAATACTTCAAATATGTAATAGTGAATAAAATAAAATCTTTGAAATGAATTAAAGATTACTCAAAGATTTAATATATGTTTTAAAATAAGAGACTGCTTGAGTGATATATTAACTATATGAAAAAATGATTTCAGGATCTGGTGGTATCAGTTGTTGCACAGTTTAATGGTGAATCATTTAATACAGATGGTAAAATAGCAGACATCATCTTGTTTGTGTTAATAGAGTGTAAACAACATCACAGAAGATAATCATCCAATGGCAATCAGTGTTAAATAAGACAACCGCAAGAGGATTATATTCATTAATAAGAAGTACGAGATTCATCATTAAAGCACTAAACTTAGCGTAGTTCAGAGCCTAGAGTAAATATTCCAGTGTTTGTGAACTTCTGTCCTGAAGAGTGTTCAGAAGTTAATAATGCAAATGTTAAGAGGTGACAAATCCATGTCACATAGACATCATTCAGAATAACTGGACATGCTTAACAAGACAAGGTGTCAAAACCATTTAAATATTGAACTTCCATCTCTTCCTTTAAAAATATTCACTAGTTAATTGCTTTAATAACAAGTATGGTGATCAGCATAACCCATGAGAGAGTAAATTAACTCTGTTGTTTCAAATTGCAAAGCTATGACAGATATCATTCATATATGAGGTAGAACTAAATAATAATGAATTAAGCTGTTTTCTCTCTCCTAAATTTCAGATGTTTATGAAAATACTGAATTCCCTTTTGCTGTACTATAAGTCATTTGAAGATGCTTGTTCTGGGGCTTAAATGGCCCTGAATATAGCCTTATGTTAACATTATATAGTTTGATAAAACTTTTATCACTAGTTGCATTTCCAGGCATAATTATATGTTAATTCCCTGGCTTACCCCACACTCAACTATCTAACATGAAAAATTCTTGGCATTATTTTATATGCATTTTTTATTGTTTTCCGTAATTACTTTTTGACAGATGTAGAACTGTTCTTCAATGTACTCTCTTAGTCTTTTTTAAAGTTTATTAAAAATAATACTACTTTCATCTTATTTCTTGAATCTCAAAAATGAAAATATAAGTATCCCTTTTAATTTTATGTTCTCTATTTTATGGTACACATATTTTCCAGTTGGTAGCCTACATATTTCACAATTAAAATCAAGTGCTTTGAATGCATACTTTTGTCTTAATGACCTGGAAATTACTACTTAGGAATGAGCAGGAAGACTTTGGCAGGCTTGTTTTCGAGGAGTGGGTGGCAGGCAGGGTTTGCAGGCTGTAAATGGGCTGTTAGAAGTATGATTACAGTAGTTTCTCTTTAATTGTGGTTTTGCTTTCTGTAGTTTCAGTTACCCATTGTCATGTGTGTTCCAAAAATGTTAAAATACAATATTCCAGAAATAGGCAATTTATAAGTTTTAAATTGCATGAGCAAAAGTTTGGAACTTTTTTGAGAATTGCTGGTGGTTGTGACCAAAACCACAGACAGTGAAGTCCCAGCTGAGGCAGTCTCAGATGTAGATGAGGAACTTATTGGAAACTGGAGCCAAGGTCATTCTTCCTATGAGTTAGCAAAGAGACTAACAGCACTGTGCCCCTACTCTAGAGATCTGTGGAACTTTGAGCTTGAAAGAGATGATTTAGTTTTTCTGACAGAAAAAATTTCTAAACAGCAAAGCATTCAAGAGATGATCTGGCTGCTTCTAGAAGTCTAACTCATTTGCATAAACAAAGAAATGGCCTGTAACTAGAACTTATACTTAAAAGGGAAGAAGAGCATAGAAGTTTGAAAAAGTGGCAGCCTGGCCATGTAGAAGAAAAGAAAAACCCCATTTTATGAAGAAGAATTTAAGGCTAGAGAAATTTGCATAAGTAAGGAAGACCCAAATATTAATAGCTAAGTCAATGGGGAAAATGCCTCCAGGATATTTCAGAGGTCCTCCTGGCAAACCCTTCCTTATCACAAGGCTGGAGGCCTAGGAGACAACAATGGTTTTGTGCTCCTGACCCAGGACCCCACTGCTTTGTGCAGCCTCGAGATATGGTGCCCTGCATTCTAGTTGCTCCAGCTCCATCATGGCTAAAAGGGACAAGTTACAACTCAGGCTATTGTTTCATAGAGTATAAGCTCCAAGCTTTAGCTGCTTCCACTAATGTATGCAAGCTTCCGTCCTAAAGAGCATTCATAAGTTAATAATGCAAATAGTAAGAGATGAGAAATCCATGTCACACAGACATTCAAATAACTAAACATGCTTAACAAGACATAGTTTAAGACAAGGTGTGAAAACAATTTAAATATTGAACTACCAAACAATTTAAATATTGGACTGCCATTTTTAAGCTAAAAAGATTTATTAAAGGCATTTACTTTATAACAGTCTTGTCAGTGCATATGATTCCAATTGCAATTTTTTTCACTATTCATTCAAACACAGTGTAACAACACAGTATAACACAAAATTTTATAAAGACACTAAAAAAAGTTTCTGACCAATTAAGTCATGAGTTCACAAAGCAGAAACTAAAGGTTAAATATCAAATATTAAGATGAAAATTACTATTCAGATACTTTAGGAAGTTCTTAAAAGAAGTACACCACCAAGAAGACTTCTTATATGTACATCTATACTACATCAAACTTGACAGCAAAAGTGCTACTCTGCAGAGCATTGACTAATAAAAATATATATAGAACTTCAGACCTGCAGGTGCACAGAAAGCAAGAGTTGAGGTTTTGGAGCCTCCACCTAGATTTCTGAGAATGTATCGAAATACCTGGATGTCCAGCTAAAATCTGCTGCCGTGATGGAGCTCTTCTGGAAAACCTCTCCTAGGGCAGAGCAGAGTGGAAAGGTGGAGTTGGAGCTCCCACATAGTCTCCACTGGGGCACTGCCTAGTGGAGCTATCATCCTCAAGACTCCAGAATGGTGGATCCATCAAAAGCTTGCACCATGTACCCAGAAAAGCTGCAGGCACTCAATGCCAACCCATGAAAACAGCTAGCTGTGGGGCTGGATGCTGCAGAGTCACAGGGGCAGACCTGTCCAAGACCTTGGATGGCCACCCCTTTCATCAGAAGTGTGGCTTGAATGTGAGAGATGAAGTCAGAGGAAATTATTTTGGCACTAGAGGATTTTATGACTGCTTCTCTGGGTTTCAGACATATATGAAGCTTGTAACCTCTTTGTTTTGGCTAATTCCTCCCTTTGGAATGGGAGCATTTACCCAATGCCTGTATCTTCCTTGTATTTGGAAGTAACTAACTTGTTTTAATTTTATAGGCTCAAAGGTGAAGGGGATATGTATTGTCTCAGATAAAAAGTTGGACCATAGACTTCTGAGTTAATGCTGAAATGAGTTAAGATGTAGGGGACTGTTGAGAAGAAATGACTGTATTTTACAATATGAGGAGGACACAAGATTTGGAGGGGTCAGGGGCAGAATGAGATGGTTTGACTCTGTGTCCCCACCCTTATCTCATGTTGATTTGTGATCCCAAGTATTGGAGGTGGGACCTGGTTGGTGGAGGGTGATTAAATCATGGGGATAGTTTCTAATGGTTTAGTACCATCACCCTCGTGTTGTCTCATGAAAGAGTTCTCACAAGATCTGGTTGGTTAAAAGTGTGTAGGACTTCTCCCTCCTCTCTCTTTTTCTACTGCTTTGGCCATGGGGAAACCATGCCTGCTTCCCCTTTCCCTTCCTCCATGATTGTAAGTTTCCTAAGGCCTCCCCAGCCATGCCTCTTGTACAGTCTGTGGATCTGTGAGTCAATTAAACCTCTTTTTTTCATAAATTACCCAGTCTCAGGAAATGACTTTATAGTAGTGTGAGAATGGACTAATACATAGGGTGAGTACTGCATAACAATACATTTTGAGAAAAAGACAGAAAGAAAGAACATATACACATAACTGTTATTATAGTATATTGTTATAATTGTTCTATTTTTGTATTGTTGTTAAGCTCATACTGGCTTAATTTATAAATTAAATTTTCTTCTACATATGTATGCATAGGAAAAAAAAACAGTATATCCAGGGTTCAGTATCATCTGTGATTTTTGGCATCTCCTACTAGTCTTAGGATCTATCACCCGCAGATAAGGGTGCACTACCCTACTTGGGGAGAGTTGGAGTTAAATCCCAGGATAATTTTTTCATGATAGCTGTTTCGTAATATCTTAAAATCTGTTTCATGATATCTTAAAGAATATCTACATTAAAACAAAGTACAAGTCATTGTACCTCTATTCCCTGATACCAAAAAATTAAGAAGGTCTTTATATGGGTTTCGTCAGATTTGGAAGGCAGCATGCGTTACCCCAGTGGTTATATGGTTTCAACCCATTTATCAAGTAACAAATAAGGCTGCCAATTTTGAGTGGAGCCTAGAGTAAGAGAGGGCTCTACAGCAGGCCCAGACTTCAATGCAATTTACCCTCTTTTAGCCAGATGACCGAGTGCATCCACATGATAAAAACATGTCTGTGTGGATAGGGATACTATAAAGAGTTTCAGCACAGGCCACTAGAATTCTAGACAAAGATCACTGGCTCTGTTGCAGAATACTACACTTTAAATGAAAAGTAAATTCTGATGTGCAAGGCTACGTATCTGCCCACAGCATGTGAAGTCACTATGCAGCCAGAGTTGAATGTCATGAGCCAAGTGTTACTGAGATTCAACGAATCACAAGATCAGGAAGACAGAGCAAAAATCCAGTGCACAAATGAGTGACAAATAACACATTTGGGGACAGGCTTAAGCAGATCCCTAATGCATGAACAAATTGCATTAATAAGATCAATGACGTAGAAGTCAGCCAATATTTCTCTTTGACTTCCCAAACATTTGTACAATTTGCCCATTAAGTGGAGGAGCTATGGAAACAAAGAATTAAAGCTTT